CTAACTGGTCGACCTTGTGAATAGGGTTCAAAAGCTTTGGGCTCACCAACAAAATGGGAGTGACCCAGTACAATTTACCAGTACCACACACCAGCTCCACAGGTTACCTGATCTCTCTGGGAGTCTGTTTTCTTATGCATTAAATAGACAAATCTACTTAAGGTTCCTGTAAGGAACAAATACATTTGTTCATGATGCAAAATATTTAGCACAGCCTCTGCACACTGTAAGCAGTCAACGGCAGCCACAGTATATTCCACACAAAAGTCTAACAAACAAATGGTCAGCTAGTGAAGGGACACTTACTACCTACCACATTTCTTTTCAATCCAGACGGCTTTACATTTAAAGAAATGTTTAAAAGAAAGGCACGTGTTAAACTTACCCATGCCTAGTTCTAGAACAGCCGTTGTTATCACAGTTTACTGTAAAAGCCTTTGTCGGCTCCCACACTGGATTGTGAGCTTCAGGGAGGAGCCCAGACTTATCTGTGGGCGCCCCTCACGTAGCACAATGCCTGCGACGCTGAATATGAAACTATTGGATCAACTAATGCACTTTTTTAAGGAAGTGAACACGCTGTTATTTCCTATGTGGATAGAGGTAGGTAGACCACATCTGGCCTATGAAATGCAGTCTTATTTATAGATTCAAACTGAGCTTCAACGAGCCCATGGAATACTTTCTGGCCATCTCCTCTATTCAAAAGTCTCATCAGTTAGCTATACAAAAAGCCACACTGGCTGAATGGTCTAGTAACAACAACAAACCCCATCAATTATGGTCCGCCTAAATGTGCAAAGTACTTTTAAAAGTTTATATCAACTCATTTAATCCTGAGCATCCTATGCGGTAGGTATCACTGTCCCTTTTTATAGATGCCAAGGGTAACTTGCCCAGGGTCACACAGGTATACCTGGTACACGCTCTTTCCTCTTTGCAGCACTCAAGAGTCAAGATAAATTATGATTCTCAATGCTTACTAAGAAAAAAAAAGCATTGACAATTTTTTTGATGGTCTCTAAAAAGTTATTACAGTGAGGTTTGAGACTGGCCTTAATTTATCTAGTTTTAAACGCCAAAATCAAAGTAAGCAGTTAAAAACAGCATATGCCAAAAACTCACCAGACTGTTAAACAAGCTTTAAGGTAAGGTTTGCGGACAAACAGTAACAATGGCCAAGGCTCACAACTACTTTATTGTTGCCTCCAATCTCTGTCCTGGTCAAGGCCATTCAGAAATAACTTTTATTGTTGGGTCTCTTAAGAAAACAATGAAATAAACTAACCAGTACAGGAAAAAAACTTACATAATAGAGGAATGGCCAGACTAAGAAAAAGTCATCTCACTCAAAGTCAGCTGGGAAATGACTTGTTCTCTTGGGGCCACCAATCAATTTTATCTCATTATAGTATCACAAATATACAACGATGCCTATATTAGATCTTTTAACAGAGAAAGCAGTAAGATGATTGGCTTTTAGCATATGCATCACAAAATAGAAAGTACTTTAGTCTATTTTTCCTTCCTAAGTATTCCCCTCAGAAAAATTCCCTTAGAATACAACTATGGTTCGCCATCATGACATACATATGACTACTAGGATCTTATTGGTGTTGAGACCAAGTTCTAAAGCTTAAAAGTTGCTATTATAGAATTAACTTCTTGCCCCCTAGTTAGTGTGAATTGTCACCTCTCCCTAGAAAAATGTAGGAACCCAGGAACTTTAAAATTCCTTTACAAGTAAATTTTAGTTCATTCTCTAAGGTACGGATCCTCATTTAAAGGAAAACTGCTTAGTTTGATGCCAATGAAAGAGCCGGCAGCATAACAGGATGTTATAATTTAGGATTTTCTTTCTCCTTACGTATATTCCTTATCTCCTCCTCCTCAACATAATATAGAAAATCTAAAACTCTACATAAGAGGTAGTATGATAAAGAAAAATTACTAACAGTGGTCCTGACTAAATTCTATTAGATGAAGAACCTAGGATTGGATAAATCAAACAGCATGCTGCAAAGTCACTGAAGAATTTTCTCCCTGGTATGAAGCAAACACTAGAAAAACTGGATAAGTAGTATCATCCCTACAAGCTAGAATGAATATATTCCCCCCCAATAAATTACATTATGTCTATTTTCAAAAATAGCTAAAATTCCTGTTCAAACACATTTACTTTAAAAAGACACATGTAAAGAAAAATTAAGGACGAAATGATGTTCACACAAAAGACATACACATGTTGCTCTACTACGAGTAGAAATCTATCTTTAGAGCCAGACTGCCTGGGTTTGATTTCTGGTTCCAGGACTTACCCTTTGCTGTGTGTGTGCATATCCCTAGGAAAGTTATTTAACTTCTCTGTGCCTCAGTTTCCTCATCTGTAAAATGGGACTAACAGTACTTACCTATCATAGGTTATGAAGGGTTATTAATATGTGTAAAGTGCTTAGAACAAAGCTTGGCACATAGTGAGCAACATAAGTGGTAGCTCTTATTATTATAAACTAATTGCTTGATGCTACCTCATCAGTTGATGAATAAATCACAAATGGATGGACTCTATATGTGTTTATGGTATACAGCATATATGCATGTCTAATCTATATATGTATATTCATTTATATGGTCAAATAACATTTACACAACACCTACTATAGCCCAGATCCTTATTTACTGAGTTTCTCACAAGAACACTTTAAAGACCATTACCATTTGCATTGTACAGATGAGAAAATGGGCTCAGAAAGACTGGAGATGCTATACACAAAATAAGGTTCTATAATACTGTTATTTTTTTAATGAGAACACATATGCCCAGTAGGGTTGGGTCTCATCAGAGGAAAAAAGAAAGCCATTAACAGTGAACTCTGATTAAAAAACAAAATCAAAAGCTTGTATTTAACAATTCACAGTTTATAAAAAGGCCTTATACAATAACTCTAAAGACAGAGAAAGCAAGAACCAGAGATTAAGCAGCATGTTCAAGATCATACAGCTAAAAAATGCTGCAGGCAAGACCTGAATCAAATTGATCTGACTCCAAGTCCAGGGCTCTTTCTACTCCTATATCCACAGCCAAATGGGCTAAAATGCACTTTTTGCAATGGCCCAAAAATCTGGAGACTCTGAGTGCCTTGGGAAGCAGCACCATGGGAATTTGCTCAGCCTGGTTTTATGGAGGTTGCCTCCCTGATCTTGAGATCCAATTCCAAAATGGCTTCAACGTAACACAAGCACTGCATGATGGGAAATGTACAGAAGATTATAGGGTAGAGCCATACCATACTCCAGGGACTGACAGTCCATAAATATTTACTACTGATGAATAAAGATATTCAGTCTGAAAACCAGGTGTGTGGTCTAGGCCAAATCACCTCACTTCCCATAAAGACCCCAGCTGAAAGATGGGTGAATGGTTTCTTATCTCACTGAGAGGAGGAGCCAGGAAAGTAATTCAGCATTTGCTACTGGATTAGTAGCCTTCTATTTTTTAGACCACACATCAAATTCTCATTTGGGTCCAGTAAAACTGGCAGGTTTTACTCTCACCATCTTGTGTGCTAAGGACATAGAGGCAAGAAATTCGAGGGCTCAGGCAACTGAGATACTATTCCTAAATAAGAAATGGGGTCCACCGAAAGTGTTCCAAGAAGATCACTACAACCTCAATATTTATACATATAAATTTCTAACAGGAAAATGCAAAAAGCTGAGTAACCATGTGTCTTGGTCTATAAACTGCATGTGTGTTTGTGTGTGTGTGTGTGGTTTCACACGAACAATTGAGACAATGAGAAATGCAGACCATTTTTATACTCTTACAAATGCCTCATCTTTCTGTTTGGGCTCTTGTTGCCGCCTGATTTTGTGTGTTCATAACATCATCTTTCCAAATTCCATTTCCCACAACAGGGCAAGTAAAACCAGAGCCTGATGCTATCTAGCCTTACCTAAGAGAAAACCAGTGACCGCAAGGACAAGAGACATGGATTTTTACAGAAAGGCTGGCAAATGGTCTTACCAATACTGCCACCTTTGAAAAGCCCCACTTGCATCCGAGGTCTCCATTTGCAATAGGCAAAGATGTACTGATCTTATGAAGAAAAGGGGCCCAAATCACTCGCACCCTTCCCCACCACCAAGGAGGCCATCAGGGCAAATTTCAGTCCTTAAAAACATGCTAACACCTAGTGTGAGGGAATTGGGGGCGAGGACACAAAAGACTCTGGCATTAATGACGGTCAATGCCGTGGGAAAATACTCGATATTCAGCCTTTGACTTTTTTTTTTTTTCCTGGGGATCCGGCCTGACTCAGTAACCGGTTCCAACAAATGCATTTTCTTGATTCAGACCTCAACCCTGGGCTTCCCAGGGAATCTCGGGTTCTGCCAGGCTCCAACACCAGCAAACGATGATGAAATAAATGGCTTTACTGCAAAGTGGGAGGGGGTTTTCTTTTTGCTTTCTCCCAAGGTTAAACCCCTTACCCACCCAGGGGAAGTCATGCAGGGGCATTGGGGCTCGAGAACTCGTCCACATTTGGTTCAATTTTAATTTTTGGAAGCCGAAAAGCGAGAAGCAGGGGTGACAGGGCTGAAAAGGTCGGATCTCCGCGCCCAAGGAGCAGGGAGGGGTCGCGCGAGAATCGAAAACTAGGCAATGAGGGAGGGCCCGAGGTCCGCGGCTGGAAGTCCCTTCCCGCCCGGTACGGAACCGCACCCCGCCCGCCGGGCAGGGCCGCAGGCGGCGAGGGCGGCCCGGGCCTCTCCAAGAGCGAAGGGCCCGGCCCCGGAAATAGGGAGGGGCCGCGGCGAGGCCAGGCCCGCGCCGCAGGCGGCCGCGCGGGGCCGAGGAGGCCGCACGCGCTACCCTAGAAGCCCACCCGCAGGGTCGCCCTGGTCGTAGTCGCCGCCACCTCCCCGCCGCCGTCGCCCGGGGGGAGCTTCGGGTTTTGGCCCCCGGGGGCCGCGGGCGGACCCCACGCCGTACTCACCGTGGGAGGACTGCAAAGGGCAAAGACGCTTATGAGAGGAGCTCCGAGAGCGGTGACCACTTTCTTCCCAGGCCCACTCCTCAGGCGGCAGCGGCGGCGGCGGCAGCAGCAGCAGCGGCGGCGGCTGCAGTGGCGGCGGCAGCAAGCACCCCGGCTCCGGAATCGGCGGCGGCGGTGGCGGCAGCTCCACTTCCGCTCCGGTCACCACTTCCGCTCCGGCCCCGAGCCCCGCCCTGCCCCTGCGCCTTCTCCTCATTGGGCGAGCGGGGCACGGGGTTGCCCCGGCCGCGTGAGAGGGGCGCTGACAGAGGGTGGAGGAAGCAGAGCGGAGGGCCGGGCTGCAGCGGCCGCGGGAGGGCGGAGGGCCGGGACCCGGAGCAAGGAGGAGGCGGGCGGAGGGGGACGGAAATGGGGGCGGGGGAGCGGAAAGAGGAGGTGGGAGGAGAGGGGGCGGGTGGGGGCAGGGTCAAGAACTGGGATGTGCGGGAACAAGGAAGACTGGGCNGTGGGAGGAGAGGGGGCGGGTGGGGGCAGGGTCAAGAACTGGGATGTGCGGGAACAAGGAAGACTGGGCAAGGTTTGGGGTTGGGCGGGCCTGAGGCCCACTCTGCTTAGGTTAAAACGGGAGTGGGCCAGGCCCATAGATTCCGAGGTCATCGGTTCTCTCCCCACCCTAGAAGTAATCGCCACGGGGTCGGAGGTTGAGGTCAGTCCCCTTTTGCTGTGTCCTTTGGAAATACTGGACCTAGGGACGGACAGAAATTGCTCATCCCCAAATTTTTGGTTAATCCTCTTTACAGTCCTTCAAGGTACTTATCATTTCCTCTTTTTTGGACTGAAGAGGCCATGAGAAGTGCCAGGAATCGAAGGTGGTTTCTTTCTTTCTTTCTTTTTTTTTTTTGAAGCCTGTGTCTATAATCTAGTAATTGAATACCCCCCTTTCCAAGCTCCTAGAGGAAACTTAAGGAAAGGAAACAGGCCTCCACGGCCCCTCGCTCCCATGACGGCTCTCACCATTATATACATTTTGACTCTTAAACACAGTTCTTTAAAATGCCTGTCACCTCCACGCCCTCCCTTTCATTCATTCTTTCAACAAATATTTATTGACCAGGCTGTGTGCTGATTGTGGGAGACCCAGCAAGAACAAGACGGAGCGGAGGGCGCTTGCTGTCTTGGAGCTCACAGTATGGTAGGAGAAAAAAAACAAAAGTGAATACGCCTTTGTCATCTCTCCTTTACCCTGACCCACCTTAATGATAGACTTCTAACTCATCACCTTCCCCTCAGCCCTGCCCCCATCAACTGCCAAAGAGATCTTTTTAAAATGCTATTCTAATCATGTTCCTTTCTTGCTTAAATCCTTCGGTGATTACTCAGACCTAGAAGACAATTGGTAAGCCCCTTGAGTGCAACAATCAAGGTTCTCCGGACTTGGCGTTACCCTGCACCCTTTCCCTGCTCTTTTCCCCTCCATCATAAAACCCCAATTCAATTGGATGATTCCTTCTCCTCCCAAGATAGGGTCCAGTATTTCTAAATCATTTGTGTTAGTTGCCAAGTTTTTAAAGACGGTGTGTGAACAAAAACCTGCATCTCTGCCTGGTCTGGCAACATTGCTGTGTGGCAACAGTTGGCTGAATCCAGGAGTGTGGCTGCCTACTCTAGGTCGGGCATGGACTTTTCAAAGTGCCAGGGTCCCCTCCTCACCAAGCCTACTTTCCTCATTCATGTTGTCTGTCATATAGGCAGGCGTTGGTGCTAGTCACCCCTGTGCTATACCGCCTTTTAACTTGAGCAAGCTTGAACGTTGTGTAATGTAAACAGCACGAATGTGACATCAAAACCGCAGGATGGCTTGAACCCCAGAAAAGTTTCCCAGTGCAAAAACTTCCCCATGGGGATCTATCTTTGGCAAACCAAAGGTCAGTAATCCAGAGACTGCTGAGGTTGAAATAAGTCTTCATGTAATATGACTGTGCCTTATGCCCCCATCCAGAAAATAGCCTAGTGGGTCACAGGGCTCATGATGATTACACCACAGATGACATCATCAGCGCATTGAAGGAACAGAAGTGCCCTTTGCCAGGCATCCCTGGGTGCCTGCTAACGGGTTGCATGGATAAGCTGCTTTCACCATCTCTGCATTCCAGGCCAACGGTCAACAAACCACAGCTATTAACCGACAGAGACACAAAGAAACATACAATGCGACAGATGCAGCCATAGGAATATATATGCCCGGGGTATGATGGGAGCATGGGAGAAGGGCACCTAACCCATCTTGCGAGTGTGGTGGGGGAGCAAGAAAGACTTCCTGAAAGAGGTGATACTTGAGCCTTAGATTCCATAATGAATTTTTTTGTTTATTTAATAGACTATTTTTTAGAGCGGTTTTAGGTTTACAGAAGAATTAACCAGATAGTAGAGTTCCCATAGACCCGCCCTCTCCCCACCCACATTTTCCCCTACGATTAGCATCTTACATTAGTGTTGTACATTAGTTACAATTGATGAACCAATATTAACACATTATTAATTAAAGTCAATTGTTTACATTAGGGTTTATTCTTTTTGTTGTTCTATGGATTTTGACAAATGCATAATGTTGGGCACCTACCATTACAGTATCACATAGAACAGATTCACTGTAGTAAAAATCTCAGTGCTTCAACTATTCAAACCTTACCCTCTCCTCTCACCCTAACCCTTGGCCATGACTTTTTGTTTACACTATCTTTGTTTTGTCTTTTCCAGATGTTGTATAGCTGGAATCGTACAGCCTTTACTGACTGGATTCTTTCATTAAGCAATATGATTTAAGATTCCTCCATATCTTTTTGTGGTTTAAGATCTCATTTCTTTTTATCCCTGAATATTACTCCATTGTATGAATGCACCACAGTTTGTCCTTCCTTCCTCCCTCTCTCCCCCCTCTCTCTCCCTTCCCTTTCTTTCTCTTCCCTTCCCTTCCCTTCCTTTCTTCTTTCTGCTTTCCTTCTTTCTTCCTCTTTTGCTTTTTATTATGACAATTTTCAAACAGACTCAAAAGTGGAGTGAATAGTACGATAAACTCCATGTACCCATCACCCAGCTTTATTTTACTATTCTTTTACACTGTTTTTAGGAGCAGTATGTTACACAGCAAATCCCAGACATTATATCACTGATTTTGAAAATACTTTAGTATGTAGCTCTAAGAGAGAAGAATTTTTAAAAAGTAACCACAATTCCATGATCATACTTAAGGAAATTAACAATAATTCCTTATTATCTTATAATACTTGGCCCAGTTTTGATTTTTCCCTAATTGTCTTAAAAATTACTTCTTTACATTGGTTTATTTCAATCAGAATCCAAAGAAGCTCCACATGTTGCATTTAGCTGTTAAATCTCTTAAGTGTCTTTTAATCCCTAATAGTTATTCTTCCTCCTTTTTTCTTTATATGATTGATTTGTTGAAGAAACTGGGTAAATTATAGAGTTTCTCACGGTCTGAATTTGGCTGATTGGGTTCTTGCAGTGTTTTAAAAATGTGACACCATCCCTTGAATGTCCAGTAAACTGTTAGTTCTATCTAAAGGCTTAATTAGATTTCAGCTCAATTTTTGGCAAGAAAATTTTACAGGTGGGACTGTGTGTTTCCTATTGCATCTTATCAAGAGGCACATAATATCTAATTGTCACTAATGATCTTTTTCAATCTGAAAACTTATTTCTTCCAGTTCTGGGATATTTTTGTGAATTATTTCTGTGAAGATTTCCTTCCTCCACCCCCCTATTTTCTTTGTCTTCACTTTCTGGAACCCCAATTATTCAGATATCTGAGCTCTTGGAATGATTTTCTAATTTTACGGTTTTTTCCTTTCTCTTATTTTTTTTATCTTTTTGTGTTTGGGTCTACTTTCTGAATATTATCTTCCAACTTGTATTTAGTCAGAATTCTGTGCAGGAATTGGAAGCAGAAACCACTGTAGTTATTTTAAGCAGAAAGGGATTTAATGAAAGGAATTAGGTGCTTGCAGACTCATTAGAAGAGCCAGAGTTACCTAAGTCAGGGGTGGGACTTTGTTTCAAAGTCACTATGGCTGTGATTGAGAGGTCAGGGTGACTACCTCTCGCTCCTCCTTCTGCATCCATCATAACTTCCTGATCACGCAAAGCTGGGGACTGGGCACTGGATCAGGGAGTCTGGCCACTGACGTTTGGCTCAAAAGTACAGTTCAAAGACAAGAGGGGCTGCCATTTGGATTGAATAAAAAGGTGAAATTGAAGGGTAGTCTATGACATGTCAACTTGCATGAGGTCTTCGATATCCATCCAACCAATTTTGGCTTTTCGTTTTAATGGAACAAAGGCTGAAATTCTGACACAGAGTGATCTATAGATGTGATCAGAAAAAGAGCTCCCATAGCCCTCACTAACTTTGCCAGACAAAGGTAGGCTGTGTCAAGACCAGAATCTTCAAACTCACTGAATTGACCTTTGGTCATATAATCACCTTTGTTTTCATATAAATGGAAAGGTAGATATCATTCATGTAAAAACCAAAAAAGATGGATCTGTATGTCTGTTTCATGGTGGCTGAACCAGAAATAAGTTTCACAGTGTGTCTAGGCTTTGCGGATTTCTATCTCTAGGGAAAGCGGCAAAGCATTGTCACGCTCCGGGACTTCCTCTAGCCTTGGAAAGTTCACACAGCCATCCATCTGCCTCCAGTCTCTTTCTTCAGCGAGCCACCTGGGCAAAAAGAACCATTCATGTATTGGGTGTTTGTGTGTGTGTGTGTGTGTGTGTGTGTGTGTTTTAAAAATGATATTTTTTAGCATTTAAGTAAGAAAACATCTGCTGTCTTCATTCTAAATAATGTATTTTATTACAAAGTGATGCATTAATATATTTTCATTGTAAGTAAACTAAAATGTTAAAAACTAAAGTCCCCGTGATCACCCCCTCCCCCAGTCCCCCAAGGCCATTTCTCCTCCCCAGAAAGTAACCAAGTATCAATTCCATAGCAGCATGCATTAATTAGGTTTTGCTGCAATAACAAACATGCTTAAAATCTCAGTGCCTTACAAAAACAAAGGTTTATTTCTTGTTCCTTTCATGTTTGTCATGGGTTGGCTTCAGCTGTATCTCTGGACACAGGTGGAAGAAGCAACCAGAGTAGGCTAATCTCATGGCAGAGGGGAAGAAAGGAATGGTGGAATCTCTAAAAGCTTCTGCTTGCAAGTTTCATGCCACTTTCCCTCACATTTCTTTGGTGAGTGAAAATCACAGGGAGGGGCAGTGAACGTTTGTCTAAAGTTTTGAAGAGTACATAAAACTATGGCTATAGATATCATTGCTATCTAATTTATTATGGTAGCGAACCTTACTTTCTTCAAGCAAAACATGTGTCTTAGAAGTCTTTCCATGTTATACAAATACATCAGTTTCCTTTCTAAACAGCTACATACTATGCCATAATATGGATGTACTATAGCTTATTTAGCTATTTCCCTATTTGAAGAAAATTAAATTTTGTTTCTATTTTTTGTTATTTCAAACAAGGGTGTAGCCAATATCCCTTACTTGCCCCTTGTGCAAGTGTTTCTCAGAGATGTGGATTGGCTGATGAATAGCGCTCTGAAGGAACTAGGCCAATTTTCTCTCTGTATCTGAATGTGGCACACTCATTAGGAGAATTTCAAGGAGAGTTTAATAACAGGACTGTTTTACAAAACACAGTGCAGTACCCCAGGGCTGGTAGCAATGGGGCTGTTACTCCCCCTGGGCCTGAAGGCACAAGAGGAGAGAGCAGTTAGTAGAACAAGGAGAATGAGAGTCCTGTGGAAAGGGCTGGGTGAAGCCAGCCCAATATGGCCCCATTGGAAGGAGCCAAGAGCATACAGGCCTCAAGTCACTCTTTTCTCTTCGGTCTCCTACTAGGCTGACCTCACCCAGATGACAGAGGGCCAAGGAGCCTGTTGATGTAGCCCTTGCAGGCCTGCCTCCTGGGACACAGAGGAGGTGGAGAGGAAAGAGCCAATCTGGAGGGGCACCACTCTCCCGCCCACAGTCCTGGAAATGACTTACTTATTTGCCAATACCTTAAGAAAAAAAATATCACTTAAGTGCATTTTAAATTTGCATTGCCCTGATTAAGAAGCAAGGACTTCTGCTGATAATGTAGGGACACAGATTGCCTCTTCTTCCCAGCGCTCAGTGGTGGCAAGATGTAAAGCCAGATACTGGTTCAGCCATTGTGTCATCATATTGGGGCCAGTGGAGAGGAACAGCCAAGAAGTGGATCTGGTGGCATCTGTTGAGTCCTGGATCAAGCCTTATCTGAGGCTACTCATGACTGTTGGGTAACATGAGCCAATGAATTCCCTTTTGCTTCAGACACTTTTGTTGGTAGTGTGTGTGTGTGTGTGTGTGTGTGTGT